CGGAGCCTCGTTAACGTTGGTCCGTGCGCGCGAGCGGCATCACTTCGACAATAACAGAAGGGGTGCCAAGCACTAGAAGAGGGGAAGGAGGAGGAGGAGGTGGGGAAAGGTGGAGGAGAGGAAAGGGGGGGTGTTCGGGGTATTCTGTATCCGCGGTCAGAAATAAACAAATCGACCGCTTGTTTGGAGGACTTTCTGCAGCGGGACGCAAAAGGGATCTGCAACAGAGTAAGTCGTGATTTGGAGAGCTCGTGTTTTCTCTTTGGCTGACCTGCTTTCGGTGATTTATCCAGCGGCAGGGCTGTGCGCAACGGCAGCATCCTCTGCTCCTGACAGGAGGGGTGACATAGCGGGACGGAGGGATGGAAAACAGTTCAGCAGCTGTGGGGGGGGGGGGGGATATTAGGAAATATGTCCCCAGTTGGCTAGATCTGTGACAGTCTTCTGAGGAGTGCTGGTTGTAAACAGGCTCCTGCGTGAGCATCGCTGCGTGACTGTGAGTCGCTCCTCTCTGGGATAAACAACACGGACAGAGAAGTCAGCGGCTGATTTAAGGGGGGAAAATGACAAAATAGCGTCATTATTGTGTCATGTCACGGTTTATGGCGTGCACAGGGCGCAGCGTTACAGCGCTGACACGGTGAGGGCACGGTAGGGCCGACAGGTGTAACGTGAAGACGTGTTTACGCCGATGCATTTGAAAGGTCCGTCATGTGCCATCGATCCGTTTTTTGGAGAGCAGAGTTCCTTCACCCGCGTGTTCCAAGCGTGTCAGGACATTTTATTTTTTCCAGGAGCAGCTAGCCGCCGCTGCACGGATGAGAGATGCTGACTGCTCACAGACTGTGGAGAGGAGACAGCAGGGGAGCAGCGGGGTGTTCTCTGTGTGTTGTGATGTGAGCAGCCCGCTCCAACATGGCGCGCATGAGCTGATAAAGCTTGGCCATTACATACTCCTGTCTGGAATTTACAGGCCGTTGGCTTTAGGGGTAGCGAGGAATGATACTGTGCATCCTTAACACATCCAAGCTGGCTCCTCCATCCCCTCAGAATAGCACGTAGGCCTGTGCGTATGTGTTTGTGTGTGTGTGTGTGTGTCCTCTGCCTCTGCTTCTTTTCCTGTCACTGAATAAGAACAATGTCACCAACTCCAACACCAACTGTTTTTGTAATCATGTTTGATCACAGCAGGCAATGGCCGAACTAGACAGAGGCTGCTTTTTGTTTGGTCTTCTGTCTATTGTCTGCCTCCCGGGTTTATGCTCTCTGTTGTGGCCAACATCTCTGTTGACAGCGCCAGCGAAAAGGCGCAGTCTTAAAGAATAACACACCCATTTGTTGTGTTCATGAAAACAGTTGGACACCTGTTTGATTTGTAGAGATCATGGGAAATTGTGTATTGAAAGAGATTTAGTCTTATCCCACATCAGTTTTGGTGACTGTAATCCAGCCGTCTCATTGGACTGATGATCGAGCTTGACATTTCTTACATTTCTGATGTTTGCAAAATGTTCCTCCATATATACTCTGAAGTGTCACAAACATTATTTGGAAGCGGTGATTGCTATTTAATCCCCTACCAAAGAAATCTGCTCTTTACTGGCAGTAAATGAACCGTGTGTTTTTTAAGTATCACACCAAAAACTGAATATACGAGAATGATTTACACAATATGTTTTTATCCATGAAAATCGAGGGAAGAAAAACCTACGGATTTCAATGATCCATCTATTCTTCATTTTGTGGTCTGTTCTGTTATTCTATTGTAGAAGTGAGGCATGTTAGGTCCAGGCGCGGGGTCCATATCCGGCTGACTGCTCTGTGTTTTGTCAGCAGCTCACAAAGGACCTGACAGCACTTGTCTTGTTCTCCCGATCATCATCTGGCATCACGACTGTGGGCAGTCACTTTTCCGTCCCTGGACGCTTGCATGTGCAGCTCTGGGTGTGCATTTCAGTCGGTAGCAAGTCACTTTGAATGATTGAGTGAAACTGGATTGTGTCTGTGTGTCAGTCTAGAAGTCTCCTGACCCGGTGTGCTAGGTGATTAAATACATTTGATTTAACCAATTTACACGGAGGGAATGAGACGGTAGCTGGAAAGCATCCGTTCATATTCATGCGCTGTCAGGTAAAAAATGAGGTGAGGTATGGACGGGAGCCCCCAACTATATAAACGCTGGCTGTTAGCTCTCAGGCCGAGGTTTTATCTGTATCAGGCACCTGAGAAACAACATTCTCTTGACTTAGATACTCTTTAGTGTTAGCTTTAAAGAAAACACACGTGTACAAGATGCACAACTGCTTTTCCAATATGGAACATACTTTTAAAAACAACATTAGTGTGTAATATTGCCTATAAACCAGCCTGATACCAGTTCCAGATAAGACATTTACTTGATTCAGAGCAGGATAAGTTTTGGATTGATAGCAGTGAGGACAGAGGACTTCTCCCAGATTCCTGTCCATCTGATGTGAGTAGCTTTAGAGCGAGGAGCATTGCTAATTGCACTCACTGACCTTGCTGTCATTTAGAAACCTCTTATGCTGTGGTTATAAAACCAAAATCGGCCCTCTGGATAGAGAACATGAATGGTATGCATTGCAAAAGCCCTTACTGTTTTATGCTGAAAGATGTTATTGTGGTCAAAAGAAGCAGTGGATGTGAGAGCAAGCTGAGCAAGAATACTAAATGATAAGGAGAAAGATGGGAATATCGTAAGAATGTGTGATATTAATAGATAATGCACCTTACCCTTTCCACTGTATAATTTTACTCACTTACAAAGCCTCTCCCTCTCCCGCTTTCTTCTTGGAGAGTCACTTTTTCCCACCCTTTCTTTTCTTTCTATCTGTCATCACCCCCCCCCCTCCCCCCATGTTGTCATGACAGATAAGACAGGAGAGGATTTGTTTTGTTTTTTTCACTCTTTCCTGCGGATTGTATGTCTTCTGATTAACCGTCATTTTTAGCCTCTAAGTCGTCTTAATCTCAGAGGAAAACGTTGTCAGTAGAGTGTGTTTTTGCATTTTGTGTGTGTGTGCAAGTGTGTGTGTGCGACTGTGAGTGTATATAAGTGAGAGAGAGAGAGACCCTTGTATCCACTGTCCAAAACACGCGCACACCCACATGCTCATATGACGATCATCACTGCTGTTGCACAGACTGTATCAAAAGAGCTATTGATAAGAGCGTTTTGTACTGTAGATGACCTGAATACAAACGCGCACACACGCACACCTCTGGTTTAAAAAAAAAAAAAGAAATAGAATGAATATTAGATCTTATGTGAATGAGATTTTTTTTCATAATCCCACAGGAGATTTGTCACGCCGATACTGGACAAACACACTTTGGATAAACAATTTCTAGCTCTCTTGAGAGCCTCAAGTGGGGGTTGGAGCCTTTCCATAAGGAAAGGCAGCTAATAGGCCTAATGGTTCCTGCCTTAACATTGAGAGGCTACTCCTATAGTGTAAGTCCATAGACTTCCGGATATACAGAAGTTGATGATTGTACTAAGAGGAAGAGAGCACCTGCCAGGCTTCAGGAGACGGCTTACTATGGAAATTGATTGTCTTTGCTTTTGCTGATGCTGTACTATTTTTCTTTTGTGAAAAAAAAAACACTGGGGTCAAAGTCGATTAAAACAATCATCTGGTTCTCTAATCGTTCACGTCGACTACTTTGCTAGCTCCTGAAAATGCCCTCTTGCACTGAACAGAGAGTTATAAAAATTATTTTGTAGGAAAATCTCTGAGAATGGTGGTATTGCCACTAATTTCTCCTTCATTATTGAGCTGGATTGACCCCTTGTCTTGAAAGCCAAGATTCCAATCAGCATGTTTTAAAGACACTCCTGTTTTCATCTCACAACAAGAAGTTCAAAATGTCATATCAGGATGTTAGAGGCTGTTTGGTGACCGCCACTTGCAAACTTGTGCATGCTTCAACAGCAGAGCTGCCTCGGAGATTGCTGATTACATTACACCCATTTACCAGATGTTTTTATTCAGAGCAAATTACAAGGGAACAGTTTTGGGCTCAGGATCTTGCACACAGACACTTCAGTGTGCAAGCTAGAGATTGATCTACCAGCATTCATCTACATCCTCAGCTACAGCCACCTCAGAATCGCAGTGAAAGATTCTGTTTAGAAGTATCAAATTCTACCAATTTACTTGCTATGCATTTCCTTCTGACATCACTGCTTAGAAATCCAATCGGACTGAGCCCTCAAAGGCCTTCTCTTTATGCCAATCAGTGTCATGTGTTTTCCTTTACAGCCCTTTGTCCAAATTATCAAGAGCGAGCCAAACTCCAGTCTTCAAACGTCTAGTTCCACACCAAACAGGGAAACTAATGATGCTTTGTACTTCTACCCTCTACAGGCTAAACCTGCCTTCTGATCTACACACTGTTATTGTAATGAAAACAAACAGCAATGGTGTTATAAGAGCTGTATGCTCGGCAAGCACTCCCTGGATGCTGGAAATTTGAGAATTAACAAGCAGAGACGGATGACTTAACAGATTTCCAGTGTTTTTGTTGATTGTTGCACAAGAAAATGGAGGTCAAGAGTGGTGAAGATGAAATGAAAACCGCAGGCATGAAGAGAGCTGAAAGGGACGTTATTTCGACTCAGTCATTTGTTCAGGAATTATTATTTGTAACTAATTGAAGCACCAAAGAGCTGTGCCTTCCACGTGGGATCAAAACCAACAAACATTCCATTAATGATGTGACTTTTCAATGATTATTGTGTCACTTTCTGATTAAGACAATCACATGTTAGGTCTATGATATCATAGATTTTTAGGTATGTGACATCATTTTGACGCCATTTTGCTGGTTGCAAACATGTGGTCGAAGATTTTGATATATCTTTTTTAACTTTCTGGCTGGAAAACAACTGGTGACAAAAACTAGTCTCCAATCAAAACTAGTCGGTTACCATTTTAAAAAGGTTGAGTGGTCAATTCGTTTTAGAGAGGAGGAGCATGTCCTTACATGAGGCAGAACATGAGGCCGACAGGTCAGAAGCAAGGTGTGTAAAGTTACTGGAAAAATATACAGATCATATAGTCTTGAGTATATATAGTATTTTGAACTGCATTTGGAGATTGAAGAAATTATTTTGACATCATTCCCAGGATTTCACCCCATATACAAAACTTCCCTGTCCTGCTAAGTTGTGTTTTTGATGAATGTTTTGTTCTGATTTTACATCAACTATAGTTTTTACGTAGCACTAAGCTAGGAGAACAAATACAAATACATATCAGCTTGATAAAAACTGTTTTTTTCCTGCATCCTTTTTTCCTCTGTTTTCACTCTTATAACAGGATGTTTATTTCACAATATTTGCCCTACTTTTTTGTAATTGATGCTAAGCTTTATTTATACTTCAGAGACACAATGTTCTGGCTTCCCGTTATACCACCATCTACCACCCCAGTGGTATAACTAAATGTTGCTGTGACAACTGTTTGCTCAGCTTGGTATGTCAAGTTTACACGCTGCCATGTTGAAATGTAATGCCTCTGTGTGGCAAAAATGTCAAATAGGGCATAATTGTGTCATAAGGTTTGTCTGCAGTGCTATCACAATAACCAGCATTCTGCCAATTTGTGTAGAAACCCAACAGTCATAAAATTTGGCGTGCGTCATATCTTAAAACATTGGTGGTCTGTTTTGTGGTAAGTGGAGCAAAAGACTGGTTTTCAACATTTATTAGTTCCCATGTTCTCCCAAAAACAGTTTTATCCAGTCGTTTGTATCTTTGCCTCCGTTTGACACAGTGAGAGACCCACTGTAGCACAGGAACACTTTGAACAGCAAGCAGGTTTGTAGGTCCCTGGCAAGGCTTCGCAGCAGGCTGCAGGTTGATCTAAAGAAGAGCCATAAAGCAAGTTTAAAGGCCTCCCTCTGTACAGATTTGTGACTCCATGGGTTCCCGACAAAACAACAGTTTGTGACTCTGTGGGAGTGAGAAGGGGTGGATTCACATGGACCCTAACAGCATCTATCACTTGTTGGAAAGCTCCATATTAGATTTTTCTGCGTTGCCGGGGGCGATGAGTCCCGCCCAAGCACTAAAACACCCAAAAAATGTTGCTTCTGACCGATTAGAGTCGTTCTTTTGCAACCAGTACATTTTGTGCTGTGGGTAGATGGACCCATTTTGAACCATGCATGCTTGACCTTTGTCTTGTTAAACATTGGGAGTGTTTGCTTGTCTGTTTTAAGTTCACATTTGGACTTAGTGGGCCCTGGTTCATATGTTTGAGAAAATATATTCGCCTTTTCCGAACTATCAACACGAACTATCTAATATGTGTTTTTAAATCTGTTGGAAAAGCATGAAAAGCAGGAACGAGTTGGTGATATCTGACTTAAACTGGGAAACAGACTAACATTTGAAGCCTTTCTGAGTCCCCTGCCATATTGTGCTGAACATCATTCCATCACAAATAACAGAATGCCAATTACCGTGTGGAAATGTATATATTAGCCCTGCAAATTAAGATATCAGAGCCCTCAGCCCCCCTTCATCTTCCCATCCCTATATGCCTCAGTCTACTGGTGGCTTCCCATTTGTCCTCTCTCTACTTGGATTTTAAACAGAACTTCATTTGTCTGCAAGACAAAGATGTTACACAGCACGGTATTTCAGTCTCTTCTGTACTGACCGAGCTGCTCTTTAATGCTGACCTCAAGGGGGGAAAGGGGTTTTACCCTATGACCCTGGAATGCTAACATGGGACCTCAGCGGACTTCCCTCAGTTTTTATTGGCACCATACTGTTTATGTTTGCCAAGGTTTGTGTTGCTCCTTAGATAGAGGCTGCAGAGCTGCATGTGTGGTGGTGAAGAGGTCACGGCGGTGTGTGTGTGTGTGTGTGCGTGTGTGTCTGCTGTCTAAGGACAAGTGCTTTGCTCTGGGCAGAAAGGCAGGGAGGGGGTATTGTTGTCCCTTTGCTCTTTTGGCCTGAAGGAAGGAAGACATGGACGTGGAGAGGAGTGAGAAAAAAGTGCCACTCAGACACAGTGAGTGTGAAAGGGATTTGAGATTAGCTTCCTGTTCCAGATTCCCTCAGTTTTGAAATGTAGGAAGAGTAATTTTGTATCCATTGTCCTCTCTGAGGAAGCATTTTGTTTGGTTTCATGGGTGTGAGTTTGCAAATCTGTTTTTTGTAGTGTCATTAAAGTTATTGAGTTTGTTCTCAAACTCCGCCTTATAATTTTTCATTTTCAACTTTTACTCTTCCTATGGGTGTCTGAGTGTGCTGGGTTTCATTAGCAGCAGTTAAAAGTTTTTTTCCAGTAAAAAAAAGTAACACCTGAGTGAGCACATTTTATTCTCGGAGGGCAAAAATGACTCGATGGAAATAATTTATTAGGGTGTGCATGCTAGTATTCTACAACTGGGATAATTTAAAGCTGTTTCCTAGTTTAGCTGTTGCGATCTCTCTGAAATGCAGCTGTCAAGTGATGATAAAGAGCATAGTTGTCTGTGCTTTCTCTTTGTTTGATAGCTTTTCTTCACACATCTTTATCCTCAAATTGTCTCTCATAGTCTATTACACCTAGTCTTTCTCAACTTGCAAACAAGAAGGGACCTAAAATGCAAACATTTTCACTTTTATTTTGAAGTCACGGAGATTCATTATATTTAGGGTTCTCAGTATAGACCAAGCTGGGTTGTGATGTTGACATTGATTAGTTCAGGTATTGAGGGGTTTACCATCAGATCATGCACAGGTACTATAACAAGAAGCTTGGAATAAATATGTGCTTCTGTGTCTGTGTGGGTGTTGGCGGAAAGATTGTAACAAGAGGGTTTCAGCGTACCTCTCCAGCAGTTTGTTTAAAATAGTCCAGTGGTGATACGAGCTGGCTCAAACCCCCACCTACTGATAGTTTATGCATCGTGCATTGATGAATGACCCATGTTTGCTCTGGATTCAGATAGTGATGTACTGGTGTCTCATTAATAATTAATGCCATGCTCCCCTAACGATTTCTCAGATCATGTTGATCCTTTTAGAAGAGGAAAACGTGTTGCCTTTTAAAAAGAGATGCTTGTCTCACAACATATACAATGCTTTTAAGCACTCAGGGCAAATCCAACTTTACCAACTTCTTTTTTCAACTAAAAGCCAACACAATATCCTCAAACAATGATGCTCAGCTTGAGTAAGTATTCATTTAGCTTGACAGACACTAAGTTGATTACTTTGAGGCAATTTTAGTTACAGTTTTCAAAGGGACTGCTGGATCTAGAAAAACCATAAACCAAATGTGGTTAGAAAAAGATGATGATGCTCCATGCAGGCAGCTAATGTGTTCCTGGAAATGATGCAGCAGCTGTCTATTCAATAGAAAACAAGGAGCGTCATCCGTGTGTTTCTCTGACTTAGTCTGCTGTGCACCTGCGCTGATATATTGCTAAAATTGTCCATATTTTTTGTTTATCTGTGAGTCTGGCTTTTAAGATCCATTCTTCTCTCTGATTTAGTCAATTAGTCCCATTTATCTGTCTTGATTTGCCTTTGCTACCCAGTCACTGAACAGCTTCCCGTCTTCTTCTACATCTTCCTGTCACTCTCATAAATGCTATTACACTTGTGACTATGCTGCAAGCATGCTTGTCCGAGAGTGTGTAGTCCCCTCTCCTAATGGGTTCATATTTCATTGGAGAGGCAGCCAGACATATAGCAGACACATTTTTTCCAATATGTTGTAAATAAGTCTCATAGCAGCTGCATGCAGGTTAGCAAAGATAATTATTGTTTTAAAATGTAGGAATGTGTAAAAGAAATCTGAATTTCTAACTTCTTAAGACTCAATCTGACTTTGACGTTTACTTGCAAATATTTATGCGTCACTTTTTTTCTCCAATCACACTAAACCATAACAAGAATATTGATGATTATCTGAAAGTGGAACACTGCCATTATTAATACACCTGTGCTATTTTTCAAGTCAAATTATGTCTCACTTGTCTTAATTTCGAAAACCAAAGATGAGTAAAAATGGTTCAGAACTTGGCAGGTATGATAAATCATCCAGGTATTGCCCAAGAGGGCAATTAAAGCCTGGACTCAGGTGTGAAACACAGAGGGGAAAGACAATGTTAATTAAGCGAATTAAAGTCAAGGAAGTATTCGCTGAACATTATACAGGTGAATACAAAGAAACAAGACTTCACAAAGAAACCAAGGTTTAACCAAGCAACCGGAAGGTAATTCAAGTACATTTTTAAGCGTTGTAACCTGAAATCACATGTCGTGTCAGCCCTGTGATTTGAGGATTTTTGCCTACACCCTACACCAGCTCCTGAGAGTTGTTTGGTCATTCATTGGTTCACAGCAGACATCCGAGCAGTAACCTTATCATTGATGCTATCATAGAAAATCTCAACATGCATTTGTATGATAATATTATTGTGCTCATCGGGCATTGTCAACGGTTAATCAAATCACAATAAAATCAGCAGACTTTTGCGTCTATCAGTTTCATTTATGTCAACATCAAGCATCCTGGTCAGATGTCATGTGATCTTCTGTATGCTACTTTTGGTAGCGGGACGAATTGAACTGCAAATCAAAATGGCTAATGATTAACTTCCTTTTATCTGGACTTTAGAATGTTACCTGACCGCTCAACTGGGTCATGTATTTCATTGGAGCTCTCATCTCACCAGTAACAGATGAGCTTTGGCTGAGATGTGTGGACATTTTTGAGGTCAGGCTGTTCAATCCTCACATAATTACGACCTTTACTGGTGCTGATTGGTCTTATTAGTCACGCTTAGTTTTATTGTTTACAGTGTTGCTCTAGCATAAAAAACAGTTTTCACTTGGAGCATTTTCACATGTCTTATTCACGTGTCTCTTTATCCTTCGTGTTTGTGGTGGATCGGTTAGAGATGCAAGAATTAGAATGCATCCAAACAGTACAATGTGTCTGTGTTTGTATGTTTGCTTGGGGGGGGTGGGATGATCAGATGATTGTGGTCCACTTTTCTTCCGGAGAGACTTCATGTGATAATGATGCAGCTAGATGGGAAAGCAGAGAGAAGTGTGCTGGTTGTGATCACTTGAATGTTAGTGTGCCCATTATCTTAAGTTTTCCTTTCATAATGCATGTGGCTGCACGTTAAGTTGGCTTTAAAAAACAAGTTTTTATGTCTTTTTTTAAAGATGAAAAAAAAAAATTGTTATTGCATGGTCAGCATTCATGCAGAAAATAAGGCAATGTTTTTTGTTTTTTTTATATCATCCCTCACACACCTAGCTCTATGGGTATTGAGTGGAAATGACTTAATCCACACTGTGACAATGGGGGTCTCACCTCATCATTCAGAATAGAGACACTGTTTTCAACACATTTTAATGGCCCAATCATGACTTGTATAGTCGCAACAGTGTTCTTATGGCGAGAAGAAATACGATTTTCTCTGTTTAAATTTCAGACACATTTCTAACTTTGGCAACTCCCTCCCAATCTATGCGAAAACTTTACAAGAAGGTTTACCACACGCAACAGGACACTGTTCACAGTCAGGGAAGTCAATTTCTTCTTTTGGAGTTTAGGCTCTTGGCAATTTGACGCCGATGCTGTGAGTCTTACTTGTTTAACATCTTTATTGTTGGTCTATATTGAAATTCACATTTCAATAACAACATAAGGTGTCCAGTGATACTTGCAAATGTATCCCATCATACATGCAGAGCTGGAATATGGTTTGCCTGCTCATGATTCAATAGGACTTATTTGTGCTCATATCAAATTCATTTGCTTTGCATATTAAATATTCAACCATCTGTCTTCAGTTTGGCCTAAATTAGAAACCTATCACAATTTTTGTGACTGTAGCTAATGGTTGTTGCTGCCGGGGGATCAGTTTGTTTCTTTTTAGATGATTAGATTAGGAACATGTCTGAATACATCATTTTGTTTAACCAACTGTCCAAAAGTAGTGCTGTTGGTATGGACAACCTGCTTTCACCCTTAAATAGGAATGGTGTTGTTGCATTTGTAGCTTCATACAAATCTCTACTGGTTCTTACCTCTGTCATTCGGCGGTTGTGGATCAGAGATGAACAGCTAATTTGATCAGAGGAAAATGTTCAACTGAATTCCACACTTTTTTTATGCCTGCTGTTTAACCTGCAACAGTTGCCATTATGGGTTTATTACCTGGAACACATAATAACAGATATCATTTAACACGGCTGCTTTGGGACCCTGACATAGAAACAGTCTGTCCAATTTCAGCTCAAAACAGTCGCAGTTTTTCCCCTCTGGCTTCTACTTTGCTTTCATCCATCCTGTATCCTGGATCTTTCTGGTCTGGAAGCTATTAGAGTAAAGGAATCTCCAGCAGCGCCGTCCTGTGCATTAGCATGCCTACACTGACTCGCCCTGGCAGGAAAGACGGGCTGATTTAGTGCTGAATAGACAGATATTTGACCTCAGTCACTTTAAAGGTAAATGGTTGGAGAATGAACGCTACAATCAAAGAAAGTTTATTATTGCAGTGACTAAACTTCTAATGGAAGCGGTAATATGTGGTTGTAACAGTCCGCATCTCAACCTGTTTCATCTCTTTTTTATCAGGATGGCTGAGGTGTCACAAGAGGAGAGACTCCAGGCCATCGCTGTAAGAAAAGCACTCATACAAACACACACACACACACACACACACAGTCTGTTTCGGTCTTTATCTTACAAGGGTGCACATCAGAACGCACGGACGGTTTTGAAAACAAATCACTGCTGCTTGTCAAGGTCTGATAGCATGTCTTATTGACTCAGCCTTTTAGATCCCATCTGCTTTGCCCATTAAAGGATATCAAAAGCTAATGCTGCAGCCACAAAAGACTTTTTCTTACTGTTTGTAGTTTTTTTTTCTGTCCAACCTTTCACAATTCCCGGATTTGACTCGATGAAAATCCCATCTGTCTTGATTTCTGAAACCAAACATTTTCACATATAGTCATCTTTGTTATTACTTAAAAAAAGCAGTCCAATCACATTGATCACATGGTACTTTAAATTACAACTATCACATTTATTGAACCACCATCACGGCTGGAAAGTTTTCAGGAATAATGTAAATTGATAACAGATGGAGATGACAAGTCCGATAAGAGATACCGAATGGGCTTTACTCCACACCCAGTAGACTGAGACACTTAAACTTCTACTGGTTTCCCATGACTGAACAAGAGGATTTTGAACAGGTTCATGATGTGCACTAGCCTAAACGTCTGCTGGCATTCCAAACCATTTTTAGTTACAGAAATCTCTTTAAGTGTTTAGCTTGACCCTTCTGAAACAGAGTAACGCTTCACAAACACAAGATGTATCTTCCATTATGGGTTTCTAAGGAATGAGAAACCACTCACTGTATCAGTGAAGGTTATAGAACTTGTTTCTGTTTGAAACACATATTCAGAGGAAGGTTCTCACCTTCTTGCTTTGGCTACAAAAGTGTACAGTTTCACAATTTAAATTTTCTGATTGTCTGAGTAGGACTAATGTCTACTCAATTTAGTCTTTTAACTTTTAACTTCTTTCACACTAAAGTGTACTGAAAACAACAAGAGTCAGAACTTGTACTGTACTCTGTAAATTCCTTTTTGAAGTGTCGTCTCTTTTTTTGCGCAATTAATCATAATGTGTATGGGTGGTAACAGGAGAAAAGGAAGAGGCAGACAGAGATTGAGAACAAGAGGAGGCAGCTGGATGATGATCGACGGCAACTCCAGCATCTTAAGGTACTCACACACTCACTTTCACATGCAAACACATAGCAAATGCGCATTTGTACTACTATCCTGAGAACACTTGAGGTTTAATTGCTGTTATTTGCACTAGTCGTGAGTCACCCCTCATTTCTTTTGCTTCCAAGGAGCTAAATTTGAGATAATAGTTTGCAAGCAACAGTCCTCTGGGCATTTTGAGGGTATTGCGAAGTATTTCTTGGAACCCTGGCTGCCCTTTCTATCATTTTCAGTCTTTTGGCCATTTTCAGAGGAACGTGCCTTTTGTATGTTAAGCTGCTGAATACTAATCTATTAATCAATCAAACTTTACCTGACCGAGGAGATTAACCTGTGTTCTTTCAACAGATGAGTAGTAGTAGCTTTGTTTGGTTCCAGAGTCATCTGACCCTTCAGTTGATCTATCTATTGTTTACTAAAGTCTCCCTTTGGAGGAGTATGTACATGTACATGGTGTGTTTCATGGTCAAAAAGAACACGCTGATGTAATGTATTTTTTTTACAAATGGATCCAAAGTATCCCTGCCTTGGGCCTCCCATTGCTCCAGCACTTTAACTTAAATGTTTTCTGATTACACAGGGTTCCAGTTTCAAAGAGGTTTTTTTCACCCCCCTCAAAGAAAACGATAGCTCATTTCAGTTTATTCCAGCAATTAAATCCATCCTCCATAGAAGATCATAATCTAATTTAAAGAAACCAATGAATATGTTAAATATATCAACATATGCTGATAAGCACTTATGTAAGAATGTGGAATGTGTAAACAAAATGATCTGATCGCGTTGAGAATAAATAGACTTTACTCATCCAGCCCACCTATATGAAGTCCATGAGCCCATGTCCTTGGAAACAGTGAGCAGACACGTGAGAACACACACATTTGACTTTGTTTGAAATCTGCCCGAGCACTCCACTGGTAAAATGAATGTATGTGTCATCCGCACCCCCACACGCCTCTCCCTTACCAGAACTTGAAGCAGAAATTCTGCTGGGCAGTTCTGTTTTTTTCTGGAGTCATGCTCCATGTGTGAGCGAGTAACACACCCACACAACTGCATTAAACCCAGCAGTTCTTCTCCAAGCTTTCAGTTCAACCTATTGAGATACTCCCAAGCCCTGCTGTCACGGAATGTTCAGAATGGACCACAGATAACACCAGCAGCTCCTCCACATGCTGTTTATGCTCACGCACTCTTACATGCAGACACACACTCATTATTATCAGAGCCAAGGCTATTGTCAGCCTATGTGTCAGCACTATCAAAGCTATTTCGGCGCTGGACAATTCAGCAGCTCCCAGATAACAGCAAAGGTTGAGGTATGCGTGGTCCTGAGTCTGAGCAAAAGTGGTTGTGGCCTGTGCTATTGCATGCGCTGGCCTTTTTTGATTTTTTAGAGCTGAACCATTGTAAGCGTGTCTCTGTACATTCGTGTGTTACGTTCTGTGTGCATCGCTTGATAAAAGAACACAGAAGCCCCAGACAATGCAGTTGGCTTTGGCAGAGGAAACAGATTTTTGTCCCACTCCCACCAACAGGAAACTGCTCGTACACCCACCGCACCCCGCTTTCTCACACACAGACACGCGCACATTGACACAAACAGGCAGAGGGGAAGCGTAATTATGCCGTCCAGTTGTATTAAAAGACCCTTTTGTGTGCACCAGACCAAGTATTGTTTTTTTTGCCATGGCAGCATTCGTGTGGAAAAGCCTATAAATTTCTCAGTTTACAAACATTTTTATGGCGCTGTACCTGTTCCAGGGTTTAATCACACTAATGCTGGATCTGACATACGGCCTCATGCCCCAGCAGTGCACACAAAGTAATAAGAAGTAGCTTTACTGTGTTTGTAACACTGAGAGTATGAACAGGTGTTTTTAGTCAACAAAGGCAGACAGGATTTATGTCGAATAAAAATCTGCTGCATCTGCATGTTCATATCCTGTCCTTAAATTTAGATGTTGGTCTCTCAATTTGAAAAAAGCAAACCTCTACAGCTCATTTGTGAAAATGTTTCATTCTCGCTCATTAACTCGTTCATACAAAAACCGATCCGTAAATCCTGGGTGAAGTTAAGAAACATGTATTGCTGCTTTTTAGTGCTCAGGTGCCTAAAATGGGAGACATTCCAACTGAGAGCTGCTGCCTCCAACTCCCACAAAGGAACTTTCCAAACTGCATCTGGGACAAATGGAAAAAAATGGAACAAAAAGTCAGTGATTAAAGAAACATTCATCTACCCTGACAGCCACAGTTTCGGTTATTTCCCAAAACATCAGCCTGCCGCATTAAATATTTAACTTTTTGTTCTCGGTTGTATTAAACATAAGCCTTAGTACTTTTTCAAGCAATTTTGCTTAATTTTCTCTTGCTTTGATACCGCTGATGAGCATTTAATTTTCTCTTGATATGTTGAATCTGCATTTTGAAAAAATACATTTTCTCAAAATGCACACATTTTTCAAAAATGTCTTTCCTTTTGTCAGCACAAATACTGCTGCTCGTCATAATGTTTAAATTGATCATGTTTTTTTGTGAATTGTTATGGAGCAGTAAATGGGCGTCTGGACACTTCTTTCCCCACGAGGATTTACACCCATGAGCAACATAGATCACAACACAACAAACAGTTCCTCTAAAGATAAAAATGATATTAAGAAAAAAACACAGAATCTAGTGAAAATAATTAGGTTCATAATAATGTAAAAAAGGAAATCTGCTAGTTATATTTGGAAATGCAGCCTTTCTCTTTACAGCTGTTCCCTTCATTTGGATGTGTGTATGCGTGTGTGTATCTAGAGTCCCAGTTCCGCCCTTTGTCTGCTACGTCAGCAGCTTTTACTCCAAAGAACAATGACAGAGACGTAACTTCAGCAGTCTAGCTTTACCACTTTTCATGTAGACTGGGGCGCGTGCACGTGCCTGCACACGCATGAGTGAGCGCATTAAGTGATGTCAGGCGTTGGGGTAATAGGGTGTGGCGAGAGAGAGAGCAAGGCTGAGGGAGCCCAGAGAGATGAGGGGGAAAGCAGGTTTAGATCCATGGCCCAGGAGACCACGCAGGACTGGGGAATGAGGAGTGTTGAATTACACCCTGTGAGGGTGTGCTTTTAAGCTCTGGGAATCTGAGTTTATAAGGCCGAATTACCTAGTGGAAAAAAGCAGGAGTTGAAATAGAATGACAGGAGGTGTAACACATACAAACAGATTAACACAGATAGAAAGTGAGGGAGGGACGCCCTGACATTTCCAGCCTCGTTCAAGTTCGTGAACTTTATGACGGATAGAGACACACACGAGCAAAGGGGAGCGGGCAGGGGTCGAGTCTGGGAGGAAAGAGGAGGAAAAAAAGAAAATCGTCCGAGTTCTGTTGAAATTCACGTTGCATCACTGGAGAGGAATTCACATGGAGCACAAGTCCAGATTGTCAGCCCATCTTGTGAAAACAAAAGCTTTTTCTAGCACTTTTACATATGGCCAGGCGGGGTTTTAGTTTGCTCCGGCATCTAACAGCTGCAAGCAAGACTCTGTTATATTTACCTCAAAGCATCCCACGTATTTGCTTTTATATTAGCTTATCTTCAATATGACACGTGGATTGGGAATGAAGACGAGAATGTATGGCTATTTACAAACAGGAATAGAAAATCAATGCAGAGGGGGTAAGTAAAAGAGGAATGGCATTAGATATACATATTTGCACTATGTTTTCAATTTAAGTCCTGAACTGTTTTTTGTATCTTTATCCAGGAGTTCATCTTGTCCTGGGATAAACTTTATCTATATTAGTTCATTTGAAGCAAACAGTTTAATATCAAAATACATAGTCACAGTTGGTGTTCCCAACTCACTAACCCTACCAAGTTTCTGGACATAGATAGATAGTTTTTTTCCTATTCTATAGGGACTTAGAATTTTACAACCCTGTGCTCAGTTGAGTATAATAGGAGAATAATATGTCAGTTTGGATTTTTTTTCAGGTCAGCGCTGGCAGCTTCAATCCTCTGGCTGGGTGCCATATTGTCCACTTGACAAAAGGTTTGGCAGCCGTTTTTGGCAGGCGATTCTGTCACACACTTACCAAAGTGTGTGACAGAGTCACAGAGTGGCAACAGTCAGCAGTTGTACACAAAACACTAATGGAGAGATTTGGGTTTTAGATTAGCTGGAGAACGTTTCACTAAAAGTTATGCAGATCTCTTTGGAAAATCAAATAAAGATATTTTAGGATACTGAGTTTTTTTTTTTTTTTAGATAAATAAAAGTTTCCTATTCAAGATGATAGAACATACAGAGGCACCAAGGGCTAAATTGTATTGCATTTTTGTGTATTTCCATAGCTGAGTAAAGATACTGAATAAGCACCAGGCTTCCACAGTCACATGTGACCAAGTTCATTATACTTAATTTGTATCCATTGTGTTTGGTTGTAGTCAAAGGCACTGAGGGAGCGCTGGTTGTTAGATGGAGCTCCTGCTGAAGAGGAGACGCAGAAGCGTCTGCAGGAAGACGAGGTGAAGACCAAACTTCTGGAGCAGGTCATTCTCAGGTGAGGGTCCTCAAACCTTTGAATGCCGGCCCCTTTGAAAAAGCCTGGCAAGAATTATTTGCTCATTTTCAACCTAGCGTGCCAAATATGTGCTGTTGTCATAGTCACAATTTGAACATTCAAACAAAGGGCTGACGTGTTGCTACGGTCAGTAAGTAGGCAAGAAAAACATTTTTCCTTGTGTGCAAAGATCCCACAATTGATAAATTCCATTTTCTGTCCGAATGCCAAAATCTTGAAAGCATGTCGACTGACAACCCCACACCATGAGGGATTTAAATAATTTCGAGCACAAATTTGTTGTTTTAATTTTGCAATGTCACAATCAGTGTTGTTGTTGTAATTTAGTGTTTGTGGTCATAAAGGAATTGCAATCCCATGTTTGTGTGTTCCTGAGCCAGGCTAGAGCAAGAAATTGAAGAACTGGAGACGGGCGTGCCAGCCAACAAGGGTGTGGCCAAAGAAAATGGAGGTAAGTCCTTTGCCCTTGGCAGCTTTTCACTCAGGAAACCATGGCAACGCAGCATGAACACCTGTGACAGAAAGAGAAAGACTAATTATAGTCTCTTCAGTTGCTCTATTAAGTTGGTTGTCTCCGCCGGAGGTCATTAAAACAATATTTCCTCTCTTTCTCTGTCTGTCTGACATACCCTGACAACCCTCTTTCCTTATGGGCTGTCATCATTTTGCCAACGATGCTTTGGCGCTCCCTATAGGTGAGAATGGAGTAGTGCAGACCTCTGGTCAGACCCCCAAGAGAGAGGTCACAGGCATAGAAGCCAAGCTGCTGGGCCCCAGTCCTGACCAAGCTAGTGCAGACAACCCAGTTACGCTGGTCTTCATGGGCTACAAAACCGTTGAGGATGAGAAGGAGACCAGCACCGCCCTGGGGGTGGAGGGTGTGGACGGCAACGTGAAGGCTGAGTTTGTTGTGATTGAAGATGGCGAGGGGAAAGCAGGTGGAGATGCAGCCAAAGCAGAGCAGGCCCCACCCAATGGCAGCATGGCGGAAAAAGAGAAGGCCAATGGAGGTGGAGAAGAGGGGGAGAAGGAGAAGGAGAAGAAACAGACCTGCAAATGCTGCACGGTCATGTGAGCTGTGATTGTTCATCTGTATGTGTGACTGGATGTGTATGGGTGAGTACGCAGCTGCCCTTGTGCAGGAATGTGTGCCATTGCATGAGTCTGTATTTGCAGATGTATGTAACTTTGTGTTTGTGTGCAAGTGTGTGTCAGGACTGGGAAAAAAAAAGAAACACAACGGCCGAAGTACATTTAAACAGCCAACCTACTAACAATGGGAGCTAATATGGGCTCCAGCTACAAGAACCACAGAGACTCATAAGTACACTTTACGATATATACTTTCTCTGACATGTATTTGACTTTTGATTTCTATTGATATTTTTCTATTTTTCTGTCTTGACATTTATATTGTATTCAGTATGTATATCTTTATTATGGGATTGTGTACTGTATGTTCATTGTTATTACTGTTGGAAAAAAGAAAAATGTATTGGCTCTCTGGATTGTACTTCTGCCCAGTTGGGAAAATTTGGAAACTCTAAATCAGTCAGATCAAAAACATCACACAATGAAGGACACAGAAACCTAAATATAAAAATATATTTCTCTGTGTAGGCCTATCAACTATTTATCAGTCAATTTCATATTGCAATATTGTCTAAGATATTATTTTGAATAGTATTTTAATATATTGATATGAAATTATGTTTTATACAATGTATTTATTGTTTTTGGTTCTCTGTACCATCTCCAACCATTAACTGCATGTAAGCTTGTAAGCACTTCCAACTACCATGTTACACTCGCAACAAGTGTCTGTGCTTTCGTAGGCTCATATGTGCTCATATCTTTAGTCACACAAGTCTTTCTGTCTGTAACAGTGAATATAATTGCAGTGTTAGAGGAATGCGTTATGTTTAAGATGATATCTACAGCAGAGACTAAATGAATTGCTGACCATGTGGCAAATTAAATTAGTTTAAAACTAGATATTATGTGCACACATGTACATGAAAATCACAAGTTTTGTTACCTTGAATAAGATGGTTGCGCTGCTTTAGGTTTTGTTAGACCCATGACACTATTATTAGAAAAGCTTAAATAATTATGTTGTCTCACCAGAAAAATTAATGTCAATCTTAATAAGGTAGCACTGCATGAAGCCCTGCAGCTTTTTCGACTCATCACTTGTTAGCTCTTTATTATATGCTATCGCGTTCACTTGAATGTAAATCCAGGGGTTAAATTGGGAATTATTCCACCTTAATGAAAATGGGCCAGCTTGATCAGGTCAACTAAAAGAGAATTTAAATAGCTTTTCTTTGTTTCTTTCTTCTTCTTCTTTTTTTTGTCTTTTGATGAACCAAATAAAATCTAATGATACTGTTATTTCACTGTGTTGTTCGGCTGTTGGTTGATGTCCTGCTCACTCCCAGTTTAACCCCTGACTGTTTGCGCATAAACCTGAATCTAATCACATCTGCTTGAATTTACATGACATTAGAGGGCAATGGGGGTATGCGAACAGATCTCTCAAGAAATAACTCTTGAGACATGATGAACTCCATTTTGCCCCAGTAGCAAAGCCTAATTAGACTTTTCTTTAGTGTTAACTGGATAAAGAGAACATGTTCCAGAAGAACAGTCTGGAAAACCATTAGAAAAAATTCTGTCAGCCGCTTAAACAAGGCAATACATGCGTGTAGACAAAAGCTGTTTAAAGCCTAGGCGAGGCTTGTCCCAGGCTTTGTCTCTATCTCCTAATTTGTTGGGAAAACACATCCAGTGGTCTGGGTCAATGAGGCTGTACCACCCATGTGTCTGTTCCCCCCAGGCAAATTCACGACTTTCACTCACCAACGCCATTATTCTGACACAATAATCTGTCTTTGTTACTGTCACACTCTAGTCCTACCCTGGTTACCCGCAATCCAAAACTTCTGAAGTTGGTGCTAATGCAAATCTTTCCCCCCACCAACAATTGTTCAACTTGTTCCCTATGTCTTACTCAAATTGCTGGTAAGGCAGTTTCTGCTGCATATTCTTGTTCAATAAGACGAAGTTTAGCAACCTTCAGTGCCAGAAGAATTCTCTCTAGTCCTGCCTGCATTTTCCACCAGAGCATTGATCCCTTCTTACATTCCAAAGGGAACTCAGATGGTGGGGATGGATAAAGTACAGCCTATGCTTTTCACATGTACAGCTTCACTGTAATTGTACAACTCCGATTCTTATATTGATTCATGTTCTTTTTTTATGGCCCCTTTGCAAGGGCTGTATATTGTATTTGATGTTTGTATTTCAACGAAAGAAAAAAAAAGACTACATTTGTGTATTGTCGGTGCCTTTTGTCAGGTTGATTTGGTTGGACTTCTCCGTCTGAAGCCATTTTCAGACCGGGGATTTTTCTTGCTGTGCTCCTGGTAACGAGGACCCACTGGAATCACTGCCTTTTACTCAGAAAGAGCACTAAGTATTCAAGTGTCTAACCCTTATTTTTCACTTGATAATATGAAATAAATGCAGCTTGGACAATAGGTGATATGCAGAATATTGTTCATGTGTTCAATAACCTTTCTATCCTGTGTCAACTTTATAAAAAGTCTCTTCTTTTTCTTTTATCCCACACCTGCATGAAAGTAAACCATCACCCAAAGTGAAACGTTTTTAAGACGCTGCAACATATGTCTATATGCGCACATGCATCTGTGTAGAAATCTATGTCAATCTGGTGAGCTGAAGCTTTGCTTAATAGTGGGTCTCTGGGACAGCTGCAGCAAAAACAACCTTGTGTCAGACCAATGCCTGTTCTATCATCTATTCTGTGGTCGTCTAAATGTTTAAGCTTAAATAGAACTACTGTTTGTTAACCGCAAGTCAGATTAGTTTGTATGTAATGAACCGACTGTATGCTCAAGGTATATCGTGGGTGCGGGTCTGGAATCTCAGCTGATGAGATGAAATGTGGGCTCACAAACAGACAATCCCGTCCAGATAAACTCTCCACTTAAAGTGCTAAGACAGTGGTCTTTTAAAAAGATTAACCAAGCTGATACAGTCGAGGTCAGAGGTCTGAGACATAAGAATGAAGACCAGGGTGTAGCTGGAGCTGCTACCGAGGTGTACTTATTTCATGGTCAAGCATGTGCCACTAGAGGGCATATTTAAACTGTATTTCATTTGAAGCCATTCAACGCTCTTGGTTAATAACACTTTGTATGAGAGGGACAGAAGCAGGGTTAATTGGGGAGACAAAGAGAGGGAGGCATAAAAACAAAGCTCTCATTTCAGAGAGGTCATGTATTCACCACTCAACACAACATCTAGAATAATATTGCTGTACTGTGCATTCATGCTAAATCAAATAAAAGGCTGTGTAAAAATTCTCCAGAGCTAAACATTAGTGTGACATACTCAGTTGGCGAGGGCCTTTTCTGCATTGAGAAAGATTATTGCCTTTTGGATGGAGGCAGCAATCTTGCTCCATGTCTACAAGACAGAGAACATATTGTGTGCTATTTTTTTAGGTCACATCCATCCCTGACGATGCTTTTCCACACTTCAATTAAAAAAAATTACTGGATTGCTCCACTGGAATATAGAGATTCATGAAAGAGTGAATGGGATGTGGATGTTTGAATGTTAAATGTATATTAAAGGTAAAAGTTCAGACACAAATGGAAGCATAGCAAACATAAATCATTCCAACTGGCTCCAGAAGGATAGCAAAATCTAATTTCTGCCATGCTATCAGTTACCCATAATTACCTTTCCTCGGCAACTGGTTTGTTAGGACAGGCACATGAACGTAATGTAATGAAACTATCATACTCATGAAATCAGCACACAGACCTCAGTCGTGCCACATTGTCACAACAGCAGCAGCTGTCCATGGCTCACATTTTCCAGAAACCCATCTTTCTCTCTCACCACATCAACAACACTTGTCACTCATCTTGTAGCCCTGTCACCAGCCACCTCATCTAAGTTCCTGCTACCTCTCAGCCTCGGATCTCAACGAAACTCATTCAGTGGTAACGTCTCGCCGCCCTCTTGCTTGGATCGGCATATCTTTCACCATTGTCTTTTGCAGTTTGAAATAAAGTTTATACAAGTACAAAAGATGGTCTGCGACTTGATATTTCCACTCACAAAAAACTGAGTATCAGTCCAATTAACAAGTGCCCCGCCAAAGCAACTGCTATTGTTCCTGTGTTACTCTGTGGTGTTAATTTGCCTGCCCAAATGACTACCTTCAGAAACTGTGCAGACATGGTTTTTATCGGTTTCTTACTCATTAGAATTTGTCAGTTACATAGGATGTGTTGGTTGGAACTGTATTTTGATAAACATGTAGTCTGCTCCTTGTATTTTTTACCTCACTATTTGTTAAATTACTATTTTTTTCAAGGGAACAATAAATGTAAAAAACTAAACTAAACTAAAGATAGCAAGTACAGGATGAGGGTTTAACTATAAGCTGATTTCTGAAAAAAAAAAGTTAGAAGTTACTTTCTTTATAGTTTCTGTTGTAAATGCTATTTCAGATTTCTTGTGGCAGGATTTTGAACATGCTCATGTAAGGTGTTGTAGCTGGATTTCTGAGGATATATTCAGCTAGCCTCACATGAGTCACGAGTGCCACAGGATGCACACGCAACCATTTAGCTCACCACTGAACGACTTTTTCTCATTCTTTGAGGTTTTCTGTATGTGGAGTCAGAAGTCATGAGTACCCACGTATTGACTTGGAGGGAAACGCGTTAATTGAAAAAAAATACGATTAACAACAGAATTAAAGGTCTGGGTCGTTCGCTTCATTTGTATTTGGTTAGTATACTTCGTGTTACTCTGCACTAATAAACCGTACCTCTTGAGGTGATTGTACTGGAAATTTGCCGCGGCCTTGTTTTTTTCAGAAAATGATAGTTGTCTTGTCCAATCAGCACTAACGTGGAAGCTTGTCCCCGCCTATTTTTGGCTCTTGGAACTATCTGGACTAATCAGCGCTCGCCTCTGCGTGTTCAGCCATTTTGTAAGAAAATCAAGCAAGTCTGCCGCCCTACCTTCGCTTCAGACCTGCGGTTTTTTCTTGTGCAATGGACGGGTAAGTGAAAAGAACCGTACTAAAGACTTATATTTTTTAAGACCAAACGGTCAAGAAGTAACTTCCCAACTGATTTTTGTTGTTTGTTAGCACGTTAGGATGTGTGAGGTTGCTTCACTTAACAACTGTACGGGGAAAGTTTTCTCGAGGCAGATTTATTTCTTCAAAACATGCAACAGTTAGCAGGAAGCGTTCGCTAACTAGCAGTTGCTAGCCGTCGATAGCGTCACAGCTACCCGTCATAAGTATTGTGAATTGCTTGAATAGACTTGCTTAATTGTTCATGTAAAGGACAATAACTCTTAAGAAATATTTCATGTAGATGCAAGACATGTATAAAGTTTCTTTTTATTTACTTTCTCCGACAGGATGACGTTCGCCAACACAGACACTAGTTATCATTGGCTAACTGTACCTTTGTAACTTGGTTTCATGGGAGCTCGAGGGCTAGCTAGAGCAACGTGTCTCATTTCCGCATTCATTTGTCTGCGGAGTGCCAGGGCCATGTTGAAGATGTCTGGCCTGAATTGTTCATGTTGATTTAATCTAAGACTTTTACACCGAATGACCTAATCAGAGTAGGGTACAATACAGCATATTGTTTTCTGACTACGTATTCCGATGGCTTGATCTCCCGATTTCGTTAAACTGAAGCAGTTCGATGGCTTCGGTAAATGTTCTTAGAACTCACTCGAAGCTTAAAACTATTATTAAGCGTCTGTGTCATCATAACTCGAACTTTTTCTATTTCCTCCTTTCCCATTCGAAACAGCCGCCTAGACGCCACTGAGTTGTACCCTCTGGGATCCGGCTACGTCCCTGAAATCGAGTAAGTATTTTGTATATTTGGCATGATTTCATGGTTATGTTTTGATTCAAGTCATCAAAGTTTTTGCGATTAATTCTAAGCAAGGAAGTCCCATGCTTTTGGCATAATCGAAATATTTATTTTTTAAATGATCAGGTAACTAGATCTTTTGTAAAAACCAGTCTCTGCGGTGTTGAGTGATCTTCTCTTTTGTTAAATCAACAAAACTGATGACTGGTTGTGTGTAGATTTATTCTTTTTCTGACTGGACTATTTCCTATTTGCAGCAGCGTCCATGACATATCAGTTGGCACAAAGGTAGGCACATTTCATTTCTCTTATTTTTGGACTCTAACCATTTTCTTTGCAGGTGCTACACTTTCAAATGTTTACTGTGTTTATTTGAGTGTGTTTAACAGTCGTTGATTAAGAAAACTCTTGTCAATCTTTACCTTTTTAAATCAATAATTTTCTTTACAGAGCATTACTCACTTTTAAACATGCCTCTGTAGTCACAGTATCGCTTTTCTAACTTTTTCATAAACCTTACTAGGAATAGAAAATAAATAGGTGCTTCCATTGGGGACTTGAACATGTAGCCTCTCAGTTCTCAAGAGCTGCTTCCATAATTACTGAACTGCTGTTCAAACTGAAACTCATTTGTAATGACTTTGCAGCCACAGGCCGGGTTGTCTTAAAACATTCATGACATGAAACCAATAGTTTGCACACAAAGCTTGCAGGCATGTTTAGGACTGGCCATGGCTTTATTATTTAGTTAAAGTAGATCTCTAAGGTGGGGCTTTGATATTTTCCTGCCTTGTGTGTTTGCTGTTGAAATGAGATTTCCTGTTATTTTTGGTGTTCATTAGCCTTGCATTTCCTAGATTAAATAGAAGGCAGGATTTTCCCACAAGGCTTGAAAAATATCCAAGCGTACACCAAGTTATTGAAAATAGCTCAACCAGTGTTGGTTAAAATCAATCTGTAAAGTGGGGTCTGATCTTAAATCTTTGCATCTGCTCTCGTTTATAGTGATGATGGAGCTCCGGTATGCTTATGTAACTGTTTGTTTGTGTTAGCTTGTTGACAAATGAGCTTCTTTTTTTTCAGCATGCTGTTGCTTTTTAATGGGTGCAGGCAATAAAAATTCCTCCTTCAGTTGTTATCCTTAGTAACAGGACTGGGGGCCGCTATGTGTAGGCTGACTAATTGATCTCAGCTTAGAGCTGTAACTGTCCTCATGCTCCTAACCAAAGGTCTTCACAATGTTTAAACAAGATCTCTAATGCAAACATTTGTTATGCACTACTCCTGTTTATTTCTGTTAGACCCATTGTTTCTCATCAGGACAGAATGTGTTAGTTAATGGATTAAAGTTGACTTCTGGTGTGTTTTCAATGTCTTTTAAAATATTACTTTTTTCTGGATGGAATGCGTTGTGGTAATGACGACTCTTAGTTATGGAGCCCTGCTTTTCTGGAATCTGTAATTATTCTGTCTAGGCAGAGTGTCTGGCATTCCGCGGTCACATTCCAATCTCCCCGTTCAGCCCCCTGTTGAGGCGCAGCTCCCTGCCCCCGCCACCAGTGAAGGGTGATCATAGTGAACAAACATGTCTGTACCTGTGCTCCTCTCCTTTGTGCTTCCTGAAAGATTACCGCCCACTAACCCACTTAACAGCCTCTAAAAGGAGTCGCTTCCAGAAATTACCCCAAGCTTTATTTTGGGTCCTCATAACATTGAGGTGTTTATTTATTTTTTGTCTAAAAAACAAAAAAATCCAAAGTCTGCCATAGCATGGAGGAGAATGTTACGTTTAAAATTCTGCCATGAGTATTCGGAAGCTGCTGAACTGATTCAGCATATGAACCAGTGTCATGTGTCAACATTTTCTGTAGGTTATAAGTATTCTGTCAGCATTTTTAACAACAATGGATGCCATAAAGGGTGTTAAACCAGTAAACAAATGCACTTTTAGTTGTTCTGTGTTGGAGAGGCACTCAGAAGTTATTATTAGATTGAGGCTGAGTCTAGCCTTGGAACCGTAACCTACAGTCCTCCTGGAGGAAGTCAAGCAAGCTCTGGAAGCAGGCCCGATCTAGCTGCTCTTCCTGTTTGGAGTTTGTCTGCTGACTGATAATGTCACACAACCCTCCCACAGCTGGCAAGCCAGGCTGGAGCCACTTCCTCCAATTATTTCCTTACATCTGCTGTGTACGCATTTTATTGAGATTTTTTTATTTTATTTTTACATTTTCGTCCCACTTTTATCCTCTTGGATATGGCATTCAGTTCAAATTTGAAAGGGGCTGACTTGAACCCCCTTTTTAAAAACTGAAACTCAGTAACAACCAGAGCTTAAGTAATCATAGGTCATACATTAGGTAAACAGATTTGGGAAATTCGTTGGTATGAAATTATACAGATTTGGTATAGAAATCCACATTGCTTAGAGATGCTACCATATGCTTTTTCTTTTTAGCTCTTTTTTGAGAACACTTTGAAACTTCTCACTTATTGTTTTTGGTTTCATTCTTTCTGTTGCATATTTAGATATCAATATGGTAGGAAAGAAACCATGCAAACCTGCTTTTGTGGTTATTTTTAGAGTTCTATGTGGCTCTTCAACTCTCCTTGGGGCTCCATATGTGTGTGCTGCTGTGTAACAATGCCTCTAGTCTCAGCCTGAACAGGACATTCTTTGTGGAGTGTTGTAGAGCTTAGACTGCTGAGCCACTTCTTGTGACTGCAATACTTCATCTTGCACAACCACGACACACTGAGCCATGAGACCAGGCCTGAAACAGCACTTTATATCTACCAAAGAGAGGCTTAATTAGGCCCACAGTAATGTAGTGTGAGCTGGGAGTGTCCACATCTTGCGCTGCATTTTAGAGCGTTTCAATATGTCAGCCCTCTTAAAAATTGCATGAGAGAATGGAGTGGACTTGACAGCTGTTTGAGTAAAATGTGACTGCTGTTTAGTTTTTGAATAGTAGCGATAGAATTGGACACAAAACACTTAAATAAATTTAAAAAAAGGTCAGTCATTGTTGATAGATTTGACTTAATTTTGCTAAGGCTTGCTTGCATGCTAGGACATTGAATTCCTCCTGATGAGAAAAGTTGAGCTCTTCTTTGTGGTCGATAGATCCTCCTTTAGTTATCATATTACTTCCTGCTTTATCGCACAATGGCTCAGTAATTTGAGAACTGTGCTTTCCACCTGGCAAACTGCAGTCACTGGTGAATGCACTGAAGTGAACCATTGTTTTGTTTTTGTTTTTTTTTGTTTTTCCTTTCCTTCTGTAGAGGGGATCCGACGAACTCTTTTCTTCCTGCATATCCAACGGACCCTATATCATGAACTCAGGTAGGGGGGTTGCCATGGAAGGTTTTTTTTCTTTATTGAAGTGCTTGACGCGTCTGTGTTGTTTGTGTTACCATGGTGATCAATCCATTATTCAAGAAGATCCAGAGCCTTGTGTTCCCTCCCTGATTGTATCAGCTTCTGTTTCCCCTTGCAGCCAATGGCAACGACAGCAAAAAATTCAAAGGTGACGTCCGCAGTCCTGGCGTTCCCTCACGTGTCGTCCATGTACGCAAGCTACCCAGCGACATCAATGAGGCTGAAGTTATAAGCCTGGGACTTCCCTTTGGGAAGGTTACTAATCTGCTGATGTTGAAAGGCAAAAACCAGGTAAGGATAAGTGTATACAGGTCTACTCACTAAACTTGTAAAGCTTGAAGTACAGGTTGGTACAGGTCTTTTCTTTCTTTCTTATGGTCTCTCCCATATCCAGACCAAGTAATTGTCTTTCTGTGCTCACCAAAGATTGTTTCAGGGAATTTTTTTTTCTTAGTTTTTTTCCCCTTTATTTCTTGTGGTTAGCCAGACAATTCACCTTTCTGAGAGTTCCTGGGGTTGGATGGGAAATCTGTCATGACTGTGGTCTCCAGTTTTGTATTAGCAGCTGCTCTGTCTCAAATTATATTAAAAAGATTTACAGTAAAATTACAGCATTAATTTTCAGTTAACAGCCTGTGTAGTCTATGGTAATATCAGTTATAGACATAATGTTCCTCTGGTCCCTCTTCCCACAGGCCTTCCTGGAGCTTAACAGCGAGGAGTGTGCACAGACAATGGTGAATTATTACTCATCTGTCACTCCGGTCATCAGAAACCATCCCATTTACATGCAGTATTCGACTCATAAGGAGCTCAAGACAGACAACTCCCCAAACCAAGTGGTAAGGGCATGGCCGAAACCATAAACTTGATTTTGATTATAGCTATATGGATTTAAGAGCATTGTTCATTTTTTAATTAATTGTGGGATTAAGCAGACGATGAATATGTTTTATTTATTTCACTATTTAGAATTGGTATTTTGTTTCACGGGATAATGCAAAGCCTTCATTGTTCGTTTATTGCATTTTTTTTTATGTGTTCATTGAGATGATCTTTCTTTTTATATAGCGTGCCCAGGCAGCTCTGCAGGCAGTCAATGCCTTGCATGGAGGTGGGATGGGAAGCATGACCATTTCTGCAGATGCTGGTAGCATGGGAGGTGGAGGTGCCCAAAGCCCTGTCCTCAGAGTTATTGTGGAAAACCTCTTCTATCCTGTAACTCTGGATGTTTTACACCAGGTACTGCCAGCAGTTGCTATTTGTTGACAGGCACAGGTTGAACAATTTGTTCTTGTAACAAATTTTGTTTAATCATTTTTATTCAATCTTTTAGCTTTTGTTTGGTTTCACTTGTATGTATACTGAGTGTGTTTTTACATCGTTTTCCTATGTTTCATGGTTTATTTGATCACTAGCAGTTAGGGCTTTTATATAATGTCCTAATGTCCATCACAATGTCCCCACATGTGTCTCACATGTGATCTAATCTCACTTTCCTACTCTATCTGGATAAAAATGAGTTACCTGAATTGTACATTCAGCTGTGTTTGACACTCCTAGTTTAGATGTTTTCAATGCTGTCCAACATGATCCTAAAGGACACTGGCATGCTGTTGAAGCAGAGAAATATCTTAAACCTGCAGGACAGTCTCCCAGGAGGTCTGACTTTGTAAACCCCTACTGCAGATGACCCTTTTAAACTTAAACAATTTACACTTAAAGTAACACTTTTATTCAAAAGTGGTTAATAAAGGCCTGTAAAATCTCTTGGTCTATAATGTGGGTAAAAAAAGAGAAAATGGGTTTGAATTATAAAGGTACACAGTTATTCAAAGAAGGTTCCCACTTATTGTGAGTTGCATATTTTAATGTGGTGAAACTTTGTCCAGGATCCCTACATAATTTTCACAGTATCGGACTTTCCAAAATATTGTTTGTCGTCATAACGATAACATCTTACCCTTTTGTGTCTCCCATCCAGATTTTTTCTAAGTTCGGGACTGTGTTGAAAATCATCACTTTCACCAAGAACAACCAATTTCAGGCTCTTATCCAGTATGCTGATGCAATGACAGCTCAACATGCTAAACTGGTAAGACTCCTTCAGATATTGAGCTTTTCTAATAGGCTTTAAGTCTGCAATTGTCAGTCCAGTGTTTTATACCCCCCTGGTAGTTTAAACTGGCCATGACTAAACCCTTTTAAAGTTGACTACAGTAATTATAGCAGTTTGTTGCATTCTGTTGATCAAAGAAAAACATAAGACTTTATGTTATCAATGTCTTCATAATCCATTGTCATTCTTAGTCTCTGGATGGCCAGAACATCTACAATGCATGCTGTACCCTGAGAATCAGCTTCTCCAAGCTCACAAGCCTCAACGTCAAGTATAACAATGACAAAAGTAGGGACTACACCCGCCCAGACCTTCCTACCGCAGACTCACAGCCCTCTATTGACCACCAGACAATGGCTGCAGCATTTGGTAAGATTTTTATCAAGTTCCCAATGTCTGTTTTCATCTGTTTCTGCTAATGCATTTTAATTTGAATGTGGGGTTCTCTTTATTTAGCTGCACCAGGCATAATATCAGCCTCTCCCTATGGTGGAGCTCATGCCTTCCCTCCGACCTTTACTATCCAACAGGCAGCAGGTCAGTACGGTAATGCCTTTTTTTTATTGGATTTTCGCTTTACGATTCCTTAAGATATGTATATCTCAAACACGTTGATGCTTACAATGTGTAATTCCTTGTATTATTTGGGTTATCTTATTTTCCAAGAGTAACTGGTGTGACATTGGAAGTAATCTATTTTTCTTCCTTTTAGGCCTCTCAATGCCTGGTATTCCCAGTGCCCTGGCATCCCTGGGTGTGGGCCACAGTGGCATGGCAGCTGCTGCTGCTGCAGCCGCCAGCCGGCTCGGCTTGTCAGGGCTCACTGCCACTGGGGGACACAATGTCTTGTTGGTCAGCAATTTGAACCCCGAGGTCAGTAAGAACATCAGACTTTAACAGATTTCTATTCAGCCTCTGTCAGTGCAGTGTTGAGTAACATAACTTTACAGTGCTCTTTTTTTACAATATGGTTTGCAAAGCGGGACCCACTTCCTCTAAAGAAACCTGTGTTTTTGTCCCCCTCTTTCACCATGTGATCACATAAGTTGAAACACTCATACCATTGTTTTTAAATGAAAAAGAGGGTTATCAAGTCAAAGGCTCCTCTCTTTCAGGACCTGTCTGTGTTTGACCCAACCTGCTGCATTTCTGACCTGCCACTTTGCTCACTGTGAATTTTAAGTTTATTCAAAAAACTAACTTCTTTATTTATTTATTTATTTATTTATTTATCTTAAGAACTTACCATTTCATATCTTCATTTTTGTCCATTAGTTGAAATCATTCTTGAGTTGTTGGAGAGACAATATTACTTTTTGTTAGTAATGTGCTGTACTGTCCTATATAGTTTGCAGGGTCTATAGTCAATACACTCAATAGTCTTATCACACACTCATTACATTTACTGTAGATATGATGCCAGTATGATTTAAACATCTCCATTTTGTTTAGAGCAATAAAAATTGTTATCCAGATTGTTTTAAATTTAGTTTCTAATAATCTTAAACATAGGGTGTAATTTAAAAGTACATATTGTCTCTGCCTTTTTCTGTATTTCATTGTTAATCTTTTTCTCTTCTTTTTCTCCTAGTGTTCCCATAGTGACAGTGCATTTTAATTTAGCCAGTTCTGTCTGAAGCACTCCATTTCTTTGTGTATACTGACCTTGTTTTTTTTACTTACTTTCTCTCTCTCCTTTTTCCCTGCCCCCAT